TCTCAAGCATTATCTGGTAATTGTACACAGATTAAATACAAATCTATTTGCTACATAATAACATCATCACGCGCAGGTTCAATAGCCAAGATGTGCGACCGTAACCAGATTTGTATAATATGTAAATACATACCATATATACTTAAAAATGTGTGTTCGCTCGGGTCTGCCGTTTTAATATATAATATATATATATATTCAGCGCTAGTACACTGATAATAAGGGGTAGCTCAGCCCACAAGGCTCTCACCATTGTGGGCTCTGCGAAGGGTCAGTTGTACACAACGTTACCCCCGCATGTGAAAAGGCTATTTTTAGGATTTGAACCTATGACCTTTAGGTCACAATGCAACAACTTTACCATTGCGTCAATGCCCACCCTCACTAGTACGATGATCATGTTATGAAACAACTTAATTGCATTTCAAATTACAAACCACGATCACATGAGCAGCCTATCACGGAGGAAACCTTAAAAGACATCCATATGTAATGACTCTACTTTTTTACTTATCATCTATGTAAAAACGATCAGCCAAAATGATTAATTTGAATGAAACTTGAATTCTTAGTTCTTATCAATCATTCAAGAAACGAAAGAAGGGATTCAAACTCTAAGTCGAAACATAGAAATGTTGACTAATCTAGCTAACGTTGAACTTGGTAAAATGAAATGGTTGTACGCATCGATATGTAATGACTCTATATGCATCATTACAGTTATTACTAAGAGTATTTAGGGTTTTAGCCGAAAAGAATGTCACCCAGAGAGTTATTTGCAATGTCTTGAAAATATATATGAGGTCCTTTTCTCCCCTATATCCAATCCCGTGGTCAAGGCTCAGCTCTCTCATAGGGAGGGGTATTCTCCATCGCAAACACCACCATCGTACGAGGATACTCAGCCATTAGATTGACTGAAAAGAACATACTGCAGGAATACAAAGGGGCACCGGTTGTGGGTCAAATAGCACGCCACATTACTCGAATTCGAAACACCGGTGGCATCGTTAGCCCAAATCGGGAACGGGGCGAATTCCGGCTACTCGCGGTCAGGGTTCAGTCGGAAGTCTATCAGGATACACCAAGCACGCACCACTTCTTGACGCGATCACAGTCTCCTGCTTTGTAAGCGAAACCTCGCTAAACTCACAATCTTCAAGTGGGAGATTGTCAGGCACCGAAACCAGCAGCCCACGTTTTTGACCAAAAGCAAAAGAGTGGTCCCCACTTTTGAAAAATGCACTGGGTTAGACACCGAGTTTGGAAATTTCAAAAGATGTACAGTGTAATATTAATATTTTATTATGCATAGTGTTTTTTTCAAACACTATAAATAGGCTTTAAATCCTTAAGAAAAAACTCATCCCAGAAACAACTTCTCTTATAGAAGAGTGAAATAGAAAAAAAATAGAGAGAGAATATCTCCTTGTAAAGAGATATTATAACTACAGAGTTTTTTCCTCATAGTGGATTCTTCTATCATTACCCGTGGACGTAGGCAATCAAGTGCCGAACCACGTAAATCTGTGTGTCCAGCTTTTTATCTCTACTATTATTGCGATCCTACTCTATTAGGCCCCGGGTTTTTCCTAACAAGTGGTATCAGAGCCAACTTAGGGTGCTTGTATATATCTACTTATCATATGATCTGTGACTGCCACCAGGGGTGGATCCTCTACATCAGAAAATAAGTTAGGTTATCATTTATCATTTGAAGGTGACGGGTACTATTCATGAGTACGGTACTGTTCAAAAATACGGTACTATTCACAAGTACGATACTATTTACGGATACGATTACTGTTTATAAATACAGTTGCTATTTACGTGAAATAGTAAGAAGTTATTGTTCGTGGTAGAAGCAATGGCGGCAAAGTTCAAGATCGAGAAATTCGACGGGAGTAATTTTTCACTGTGGAAGTTGAAGATAAAGGCTATCTTGAGAAAAAATAATTGTCTGACGGCCATCGGTGCAAGGCCGGACCACATCACAGATGATAAAAAGTAGAACGAGATGGACGAAAATGCTATTGCAAATCTTTATCTGGCATTAGCAGACGTGGTGTTGTCAAGCATTGAGGAGAAGAAGACAACAAATGAGATCTGGGATACTTTAACAAAGCTATATGAGGCGAAATCCATGCACAACAAAATCTTCTTAAAAATGAGATTTTACACTCTAAGGATAGCAGAATCTACATCGATAACCAACCACATCAACACCCTAAACACATTGTTCTCCCAACTCACAACGTTGGGGTATACAGTTGGTGCGAATGAACGTGCAGAACTTCTACTTCAGAGTCTACCTGACTCGTTTGATCAACTCATCATCAACCTGACAAACAACGTCCTCATGGACAATCTAGTCTTCGACGATGTTGCAGCTGCTGTTCTGGAGGAAGAAGATCGGCGCAAGAACAATGAAGATAGGCATGCAAGTTCGCAACAAGCAGAGGCTTTAACGGTGACGAGAGGAAGATCAACGGAACGTGGCTTCAGTGAGAGTCATACCCATGGTAGATCAAAATCACGAAGTAAGAAGAATATCAAATGCTACAACTGTGATAAAAGAGGGCACGTCAAATAAGAGTGTTGACACAATAAGAAGAGTGGAGATAAAAAGTCTTCAGAGCCATCAACATCTCAAGGATGTGTTGTCAGCACATCAGACGATGGTGAAATTCTATTCAGTGGAGCAACCACTGTTGATGAAGGCTGAAAGAGGTTTGCTGATGTCTGGCTTCTGGATTAAGCAACCTCCTGGCACATGACCTCCCGGAG